TGATCACACGTTTACATAAAATATTTGGGGTATACTGAAGTAAATAAAATGTTATGAAAATCTATTTCACTTTTTCCACCTTTTCAGTGTGGCTCACATTTGTGGCCTGCAGTCTACTTCTACTGGACAACACTAGTCTGAGGCACTTGAAATAACAAGCTAGAGTTTAAACCCTCTAGGCAATGAAACACCACTGAAGGTTTTCAACCATAAGTGCCTGTGCTAGATCTGGGGAGGGGACAGGAAACAGAAAGTGCTGTTTCAGGAAGATTAGTGTGGGGGCAATCTGTAGGATCAAGACCCTAGAGGCAGTTGTCAATGTCAAAAGGCTGGCAAAGGTCGAAGGGTAAGCAGGCTCAACTGGATGGTACACAAGGTGTTTGGAAGTCACACGCTGGGTGGAGAAGAGAAATCCAGAGCAGGGTGAGGTGAGGGAAGAGTGAGCTGCAAGCCCTGGCCCAGCCTGGATACCCAAGGTGCACTGCTGAGCAGACTGAGCAAGGTCAGCCACTGTTTAGGTTAGATCTAGTGGGGGGTCAGGGGTTAGGGGTCAGGGCTCCCAGGCAGAGGTACAATTCAGAAGAACAGGATCAGTGTCCTCTTCAGCAATTTCAGATCTAGCTCTGTGTGGCAAGACTTCCAACAGTGAGATCAAGTCCCAGAGAAGGTAGGAGTAGAATGCAAGGCTACCAGAAACTACAAGAGGGCAATAAATTATAAAAGCAAAGCCCAGACTCACAACACAGCCAACGAATATTTACCGGGGGTTTGCCGTGAGCCTGAAGCTTGGCTGGCTCTGGAGACAAGAGAAACAAAACAGACGTGGTCCTGAATCACAAATTGTGGCGACAGCTACGAAAAAGGAACAAGAGATCTGAGAGACCTGACTGAGGGTGGACTGGGGTGGTGGTGGGAGGCCATAAAGGAGAGCCTCTCTGAAGAAGTGACATTTTAATCGCAACCCTGGAGGCAGGTGGGTGAAGATTAAGGGGGAAGCGGGGAAGAACAGCCCAAGCCAGGAGAGTAGTGCGTACAAAAACCTTGAGGCTGCGAAGAAAAGGTCTGGGTAATTCAAGGAACTGAAAGAAAGACTGAGTAATTAGGACATCAGAAAGGGGGGTGGGCCATAAAAGAGACAAGGGAAGGCTGGAGGGGCAGGCAGAGGCCAATCGTTCAGAGTCTCATAGGATGAAAAATAAAATCCCAAAAGGGCCTCAGTACAGCGGGAAGCCACAGGGGTTTTGACCAGAGAAGTGGTCTGATCCCCATGGCGTTCTAAGTACTCCAATTACCTACACTCTGCTCAGACTACTGAATGGGAGCCAGCTTGGCAGCAAAGAGGCAGGAGCCAATATTTGTAGCTGAGTAGCAGGATTCCAGGTCTGGGATAAGAGAGTTTATTATAGGGCCCTCCGAGTGTTCCAGGGTCGCCAGCAGGGAGAAGGATGGCATCACCAAAAAATACAGAAAAATCGGATAAAGAGCTAGCTTAGGAGGCAAAATTAAACATAACTTTAAACATATGAAATATGAACAAATAGTGAAGAATTCTAGCAGTAAATATTGATGTTTTGGAGTATGGGAAGAGAGGTCAGACGTGGATATTCAGGTTAGCAGATACAAAGGTGACAGTTTAAGTCCCAAAAGTAAATAACATTTTCCAGGAGTAGAAAGAGAAAAATAAAACAACAACAAAAGGAGCCTAAGTCTGATCCTTGGTGTTTATCTCTGGGATAGAAGTCAGGAGAAAGAAGTCCTCATATTATATCAAAAGGGATACAGTATGAGGAGGAACTTTTTGGGAGATGGTGAAACCATCCTGATTGTCGTGGTGGTTACACGAATCTATACCTGTGTTAACATTCATAGAACTGTACACATACTAAAAGTTAATGTTACTGTATGTTATTTTTGTTTTTAATTTGAGAGAGAGAGGTAGAGAGAGAGAGGATGGGGGAGAGGGTCAGAGAGAGAGAATCCCATGCTCCATGCTCAGCACTGAGTCTGACGTGGGGCTCCATCCCATGACCACGAGATCATGACCTGAGCCCACATCAAGAGTCAGATGCTCAACTGACTGAGTCACCCACACACCCCACTGTATATAATCTTTTAAATAACGTTTTTTAAAGAGGTAGGGATAGTCAAAAGGACTGCTGCAGGGAGACATAACAGGATAAATCCCGAAAAGATGCTCTGGGAATTTTAACCATTAGGTAATTGGCAACCTTGGAAAAAGCCTCAGCGAGTGGTAAGGCTGGGAGCCAGGCTGCAAAGGTTCAAAGAAAAACTTGAGCAGTGAAGAGAAGCAGTCAGTACAGCCTCCTCTTTCAGAACTCTGGGGATGAAAGGAAGAGCAGAATGGCACACAGCTCAAAGAGATAAGGGGAACTGGAAGATTCAGCAAACTGGCAGAGCCAACCTTCTACACCATGAGTTGCTCCATTTCCGTATTCTTCTAGAACGTGCATTTTGCACATGAATTATTTACTTTATTATTGTCCTGTGAAACTAAAACCGCTAAAACAAACCCAAAATCATTACACTTTTAACTCTGCTCCTTAGTTAGCTGACATTTACTGTGCTCCTACTACGTGCCAAGTACCGTGTTAGATACAAAAGTGAGTAAGGCCTGGTCCTTGGAAGAGCACACAGGATTTATCACAATCACAAGGTACTGGAGTGGAGATCTGCACAAAGGACTCTGAAAGCCTTGACCTTCTGAATTAAATGCATTTCTATTTACCTTTATAAAAACCAAACAGGGAAGAAATGAAGACAAAGCATGGATGCAATTTTGTAAAAATGTTAATTTCTAAAAACTAAGAATGAGTTTAACATTAAATTCTTTTTAAATTATTTATTATTTATTTATTTATTTATTTTGGAAGAGTGAAAGAGAGCTTGAGGGGTGAGGGGCAGAGAGGGAGACAGAATCCTAAGCAGCGCAGAGCCCGATGCGGGGCTCAAACTTACCAACCTCGAACCGCGAGATCATGACCTGAGCTGAAACCAAGAGTCGGGAGGCTCAACCGACTGAGCCACCCAGGTGGCCTAACGTTAAATTCTTAAGTCAGGTATGGGCAACCTAATCATCAGTGGCACTTGCCTTTTCTTTTCCTGTCTACCTTCTGCCTTTCTTCCCATGGATACTTTAGGAGGCAAAATGGAATAAGCACAGACTTTGAAAACAGACAGACTTGAGACTAAACATGGTTCTTCGAGATCTTTTTCTTATCCATAAAACAGTAATGACACCTTCCCCACAGGCTTGAGAGAACGATCAGGAAAAAATATAAAGAGGTTGGCATACGAGAAGCAGGCAGTGAATGTTGGTTAACGTTACTATCATTTGAACAAGTGGTATTGTTCTGATTTAAAACATTTTTAAGGGCTTCCATTTGAATGAGGAAAAAAATGATTTTTTCAAGGGCATGATGTTCATATGCTACCTTAGAAATGCAGCTTGGTAATTCCTTCTTAAGTCCTATCAGAAACTATTCTGCTCAAATACATGATGTTGGGGACAAACACTTAAAAACGGCCAAGAACCAAGAAAATATAAAGGCATCGTTATTATCATCGCTGTTTCCCAAGTGGGACAAACCAGTCTGATTTGTGCTCTGGATCCCTTAGTGCAGGGATCTACCTACATTCATACCCCTCCCACTACCTACCTACAGCAAAACTGCACAATGTAGATATGCAAGACTATGTGCTAAAAGTTCTTTAAAGACGCATTTACATAACACCACCAAGTATGTACAGTTTCAAAGCCAAGATCATTGATGCTTCTCCCAATCAACAGGAAGCTATCATCCATTGAAATTCCCCACAACAATGAAGGAAACAGCCTCTATTGTTCAACTTTCACAAAATGCTAAGATGCAAAAATTTATACACCTTATGTCCGTACGCTTAACTACTAGGGTGAGGAAAGGCAACCAATGACGTTTTGTTCACTATGGAGAAATATCTCTGGCCAATTGTGTTGCATAATTTTGCTTCTATCGTAATACAAATGACCAACTTGAAATTCCCCTTATTCCTCGCACAATTTTCGCATAGGGGCTAAAAAGTAATAAAACAGCCAAAAGACACATGAGATGGCAAGGACACTTAAAAGCCCGACCGGTACACTGTGCCTAAAGAACTGAGGATAGGCTGGTCTTTAAGAAGCTACCGTTACTGGGTATCTTGAGCCACTTTAGGGTATTCCGCCCACCGGTATAAGCCCGCTAGCTTGAACCTAAGGGAAGCCAGCCCACAGGAAGCCCGAAAACACTCCTCGTGCTGTTTCGTCCCATTTCCTTGTGGAAAGTCTGAATCGCCTCTCGAAGGTGGCCACACACCGCAGGGCTCTGGGGTGAAGGGCGGGAGCGGGACCCCACCCCCCACCCCCGGCCGGGATTAAGCAGGGGGACGCATTCCCGCCGACACGCGGGTCCCACACAGGCCTGACGCCTCCCTCTGCCACCCGCCAGGCAGGGGGCCTGACGCGCCTTGGCGGGCCCGGCTCTCCGCCGCGACGGGGCGTCTCTCCCCGCCCGGAGGCCCCCCAGCGACGGGAAGCGAACCCGACTCGACCAGCCCACCCGGAAGCCCTCCCCCAGCTCACACCTGCTGGCGCGTGACGCCCGGAGCCGCGCGCGCCCGCCAGCCCCGGCCCTGCCATTCGGGGCGCCTCTTCCCTGCACGCCGGACGTCGCCCGCGTCCCTCCCCGCCCCGGGGTCAAACCCACCACACGCCCGCCCCCACGGAGCGCGCGCTCAACGCCCCCGCCCCCGCCGGGGCCCGCGCGCGCTCCCGCCCCCCCTCCGGCCCTGTCCCCGCCGCGCGCGCTCACTCGCGAGGACACGCACACGCTGCGACTCAGCTTGACAGGCCGGCCCGCGCCGCGCGCTCCCGCGGGCGTCCTCGCCCACCTGGCCCTCCAGCTCTGACTGGGCGGTGCGCGGGGGGAGGGGAAGGGCGGCAGTGGCCGTCGGTCCTCACTCACCGCCGAGCCGCGCCGGCTCCGAGTGCGCGGCGTTCCGCTGTGAGGCGATGCGCTGCGATGCGCGCGGTCCCCGCTTCTCCGCAGGCTATGGAGGCGACGTAGTAGGGGGACTGAGGGGCGCGGGGGGGGGTCACTCCCTCCCGCTTCACCTCCCAGAAACACGGGGACCCCAGAAACTAAAAACAAAATAAACAAACTTTCCCCTCCGCCTCCCTCCCCCAAAACCACAACACAAACACTCGGGGGCCCGCCCAGAGTCCCACTCCATTGGCCACAGGGAGGATGCTTCCGGCTCTCACTGGCTGGCTTTTATGCCCATCAAGCTGCTGTTCCGCCCCTCCAATTCCTCGCCGCTGCCGTCGCCCCTCATTGGTCAAGTGCTTCCCGTTTGACGAGCTACGATTGGCTGAACTGCCTGCGCCAATCATTCGGGGACACACCCCCTCAGCATCCCAGAGGCCGCTTCCTTGGTCGCGGACCCGGAGAGGCGAAGGGGAAACTAGAGCATGATGGCGGCCGAGCTCACTTGGCGCAACCATCGTCTTTTTTCCTTTTTTAGCTCATTGGTGCCTCGCTCTCGCGCTGCTTCCACTGAGCTCCTCTCTCCATCCAGTATTGCCTAATAACGGAATCTATACGCGCCGGCTCCTTGATTTATCCCCTTCGAAGTGCTGAGTGTGGGCTGGTTGTACGTCATTGGACTGTCAGAATGTCACTCCCTAGTCAAATCTTCAAGCTATTGGTGGAACAGCCAGAAAACCCGTCCAACAACAAGGACTAGTGCCATTGGTTTGATTCCACAGAGTTCTTTCCTGGGATCTTATTGGGCAAATAGGCGCGTCAGTCAGTTCTGGATTCCCTGTGCTACAGTGAATTGTTGGCTGGGAGTTTGCATGACTCTGGTCATTTTGACCCATAATTGACGATAATAATGACCATCGTTTATTTTGTGCGTACTTTGTGCCAACTACCATTCTGATTTCTTTGCAGGGATTATCTGGTTAAACGTGTGAGTTTTACATTGTCTAAATTTTACAGTTAGAAAACTAAGGCTCCAAAAAGGTTAGGACACTTGCCCAAGGTCACCGAGATAGAGAGTAATTAGTGAACCGGCATTTGGAGGGTAGGAGGTCTGACTCCAGAGCCTACCCTCTTTTTACTGTAGTGCCTCTCCCTTCGTCCAGAATCTTACCTGCCAGCCAACATATCTTAAAAATATTTCATTCCTAATGCAAGTTCCCCCATCAGTTTCCAGAGGTGACATTGTGGGAGACTAAAGCTATGGAGAGGTTGTCATTGCCACCACGCATTCTCCTCTGGCACCCATTCTTCCCTATCCTAAAGGAAACCGTCTTGGTGTTTCCTGACCAGAAGCTCATCTACCTCTATGTTTATTTTCTCAGCTCTATAAATTAACATTTCCACATCCTTGTGTGCCAAGCCACCTTCCTCAACCCCCACTCATCCATCTTCAGCTCACTCTTTAGAGAGAGACCTCAAGAACCAGAAACAAGAAGAAAGAGAGTCGAAAGAGAAATAAAGAATACATCGCTTTAGAAATAAATAATTTATTACATGCAAATGGAACAGCCCTTCGGCTCCTGGGAAGCTTCCAGAGTGGCCCCGGATGCAGCGCAAGACGTGTGCTCCTGGCTGGTGGCCACTAGATTCTTTTTCTGTGGCAGCTTTCAGCGAAGTGAATCCAACATTCCAGCCAGGGGAGGGCAGGATGCTTAGAACCCAATGCCAAAGAGCCGGCCCCAGCCTCTGGGACTGAAAGGATCTCCAGAAGCACAGTTCTGGACTCCAGCCCACATTCCGTCTCGGGTAATTAACATTTTACCATCCCAAATCCCCATCCCCTGTAGCTTCAGTAGGATCACCGCCCTTGTTTCGCTTCTTGATCCAAGCTGTTGTGTAACCTTGTTGGCACTGCTTTAGTAATAAAACAACCACTGTAACACTGTAATGCTCAACACTTAACAGACTTTCAGCAGAGGAAGACAAGGCATTTCACAAACATCAATTAAGATTAAATGGCAGGTATTCCTAGGGCAACTGCCAGCCAGCAGAAGGACAGAAGGAAGATCATGAGTCAAATTCTAACAAAGGTCCTAAGAACCTGATCCTTATACCTACACGCACATACCCCATACTAGCAATTCCAGTATGGGGATTCTGAACCAGAAAACACAATGAGTGAGAAATGTTCAGAGTCCAAAACCTTCCTTATCTTCATATTTGGTTCTTTGTAACTCTTTTAACCCTTAAACCAGGGGTTGGTTTTATAGTTAATTGTTGGACATATCTGTCTCCCCAACTCAGTTATAAGTTCCTTGAAAACAAATGGTTTCATCTTTTTTTTTTATAAGTTTATTTATTTTGAGAGAGAGACAGAGCGCATAAGTGGGGGAGAGGCAGAGAGAGGGAGGGAGAGAATCCCAAGCAGGCTCCATGCTGTCATCATGGAGCCCAATGTGGGGCTCAAACGCACAAACAGTGAGATCATGACCTGAGCCAAAACCAAGGGTCAGACGCTTACCTGACTGAGCCCCCCAGGTGCCCCTGTTTTTCATCTTTGTATCCCTTAAATGGTTCTGATTATAAAAGGTCCCCAAACAAATAATTATTCAGTAAATATTTATTGTGTCTGTGGGCACTTTCCTAAGGTACAAGGGCTACACAGATGAATAAAATACCTCTGCCTTCAGGGACTGCAAATCTGGTGGGGGTGGCCAAAATGTAAACAGATCATCACAGTGCAGGTGGCTTGGAAGAACATGGGAGGGACATGGGACTCAAGCTTGGCGGGGCAGAGCTGGCTTCCTGGAAAAAGTGACATCTACGAGGAGAACTGAAGGATGAAATGCGGTTAGCTAGCCAAGGGGCTGATGATGTGTAGTGATGTGCAACGTTTGCTCTCTGCGGGCAGGGAGCAGGAGACGAATATCCAGGAATGGTCGAAGTCTGGTCTCCCCGTGACCTTGATTTTTGAGGGCCCTCAGCTGTCTATCCCCTCCCCCTCCTTGTACTTTCCCCCGCCCCCCGGAGAAAGCAGAAAGCTGGAAGCCCTGTCACATTTGCCCACTTGAGAAAAGGAAAATGATTGGCAAGTAAGATTGCTGTTTTTCTGACCACAAAGGTAACACTGAGTAAAAGATCTCAGGCAGTATAGAAAGTTTTAAAGTAGAAGAGAAAAGCTCTCTCAAATCCCTACAAGAGCCAACTCCTTTTAAAAAGAGTATCTTCCCAGATTCTTCTGGATAGACCCACACATGGATTTCTTCTTCCAACAAACAGCGGAGTGTGGTTTAACGTGTGCACCCTGAGATCTTATTGCTCGGAACTGCAACTTTGGGTGGGGCCCATCCTCACTTTCTATACTTATGGGAAGGAGGCCAGCAAATCAACCAAATATTTATTGTGGAGAATGATGGTTTCAAATTCCTGTTGCAGCAAATGACAAATTACCACCTGTTATGGGACTTTGGGGCTTGCTCAGGCTAGTGTAAAGTCAGTGAGTTGGGGGGGAGGGTTCGCTATGTCCACGGCCCTGGGGTTTATGGGTATCCTTTGGTGGTTGTGGAGTCAATCCATGGCCTGAAAAGGCAGCCCAGGTCAGAGAACAGCATGCTAGAGTGCTCTCCTATGCTGTCTTTCTCATTTCTTCTCTGCATGCTACTCGGGGAAAATATTTTTTGTTTGTTTGTTCCAACTCACCCAGCTTTGAGAGTAAAAAAAAAACTTGTCAAGCCCTGCACAATTGTATTTAGGCCAAGTGCAGTATGTTCTTGGAGTGCTATACTATTCTTAGAGCTCTATATGTGGTATTCTATACAGCTGGCTTTTTGCTGGAAGGGAAGGCAGATTTAATGAGTGATAGCTGCCTTGGATGGCTACCAAAAGTGCTGTAAGCCATTCCAAGCAACAGGCCTTCCTTTTTTCCCTTGAGAGATTGCTCTGTGATCCCTGAACACATTGCACTGGCCTGGACAAAATCCAACGCAACGGGAATTTCTGCGAACGATTCTGCAATGACCCACAAGCCTGGGGTGACATAGCCAGCTGGATCCGCTCCAGCTCCGATTTCGGTGGCACAGGAGAACTCCATCCACCCTCCTCACTGGCCTCTCATTGCTATGAGACGTTTGGAAGTGTTTGTAAAACATTCTCCGCTTCTCCAAATGTATAACCATGGGAAGATCCCTGTAAAGGAACCTACTGACAGCTGGTAATGCTCTCTGGAGCGGTGGGTGTGGCCAGAGCCAAGGCCAAGAGCAGTGGGGGAGGGGAATTTTCTAGAGGGTGCTGATTACAGAGGACATGCTCATAAGCATTTATTACATGTCTGGTAGCATTTATTGTGGAGCAAAGAAAGCCCTTGCGACAGACGCTGTGCCACTTCTAAATCACCTCTCATCTCTTGTGACCACACTTCCTGAAAAGCTCCTAGTGAAGCAGCAAGCACTGGGCTCCTGTTTGCTGGCCAACATTAGACCCACAGGAGGTTCACAAGAGAACCGGGAGAAGTGGCTGTTAACAATAGCTACCCTTCCATGAACACTTGCTTGCTGTGTGCCAGACGCGGTACTGAGGGCTTTATGTGGATCGTGGCAGTTAATCTTCACAGCAACCTTGGTTATCCCCATTTTCCAGATAGGGAAACTGAGGCACCGAAGGGCTGACTAATTTGCCCCAGGTCACCACAGGTAATAACCTCACAGCTGAAACCAGACAGTCTGACTCCAATGAGTAAGCTCCTTTCCTCGCTGCTGTGTTGCCCCTGAGACAACACTGCAGCCGGGGAGACAACCAGCCTCCAAAGCAACAGTTGCCCTCAGAGCCTTTATTATGTCAACTCCATGCTCGGCTGCCCTACAGACTCGGGGAAAGAGTCAGCTTCTTCCTGGTTAACTTTTTGCCTCTGGTGGTCCTTCTTCTGCCTCCTGGTTGTGAACCGGCTCTCCTCCCACCCTCTTCCAAGCGGCCTCCTCTCTTCCTGCCCCCTTTTTCTTCTATTTTCCTTTTCTCAGCTTCTTAAATAATGACCTGAGGCCATCACCACCGGGGCCCCTTCCTTCTTTAAACCTGGCTTCGGGGCCCTAACTCTCTACCGACACTCCTTTCTCTAAGCTCATCTATGACCTCTTGTGGCCAAGATCCAAGAGACTTGCTCAGTTCTTGTTTCCATGGCTTCACCACTACGTTGTACTCAGA